CCAGTAACTTGAGATTCTTAATCTTGGCGGCCAGATCTTGGTTAAAACAATGCAATTAACATCATGTTATGAACACACAAAAAAATACTATGTGTCTGTGTGGAATGTTGCCTTCCGTATTCATAGTCTATAAAAAAAAAGTAGTCAGTATGGAGAAAAAGTAGTTTGTCGAGTCATAAAAGCATTTTTGGGATTGTGATACTTTTTTTCAGAGGTTGGTTGCAGATAAATTTATTTATATAAATTCCAAATATCAAATTTATCCGATATTTTTCATGCGTTGTGTTGTTCTAACGCATTTACAGTGCATAAACGAGACATCGGCTGTTGTATTGGCAGCCAGCTATTCATCGCTGGAATGAGATTTTTGTTTTGTTCATTTACCGTTATTTGTCAACAATTCTGCCACTGCGCACTACATAGTATATATAGTCTATAAGAAATGTAAAATATTCGCCATTTAGTTTAACATTGCCAATACATTAGTTATGGAGATTTTTGTTTTGTTTCTTTTTTGTCGTTTGTAAACAAATCTACCTATCTTTTTGCATTGTCTCTGCACATTTTGCATGGACATATACTATGTACAGTGGCAATGCAAAAAGATAGGCAGATTTGTTTACAAACGACAGAAAACAAACAAAACAAAAATCTCCATAACTAATGTATTGGCAATGTTAAACTAAATGGTGAATATTTTCGTCTCTGCACATTTCTTATGGACCATATATATACTATGTAGTGACGCAGTGGCAGAATTGTTGACAAATAACGGTAAATGAACAAAACAAAACTCTCATTCCAGCGATGAATAGCTAGCTGCCAATACAACAGCCGATGTCTCGTTTATGCACTGCAAATGCGTTAGAACAACAAACGCTCTAAACATATCGGATAAATTTATTTGATATTTGAAATTTATATAAATAAATTTATCTGCAACCAACCTCTGCTTTTTTTTATTTTCTCCGCAAGCTGTAGACACTCGTCAAGCCATTACAACTTGACGGAATAGCTACAAATGAGGAAGAGAAACAGTCATTTGAAATCAAATCTTTTGAGTTAGTGAAGAAAAAAGAAGCAAAATGTGGGCATCACCAAAGACAAAAGCCACCCATTCAAACCACCGACTCATTCAAATGGAAACATGCAAAATAGATTCAATTGCGAAGAATAGAAGCAAAAAAAAAGTAATTCAATTGGAAGCCTACAACGTTTTGCACACAATGTCATTTCATTTGATGTACCTCTCTATGGCACTATCTCTTTCTCTCCTATATTCTTGTCCAGCGTCGCTTTTGGGTACTCTTTCTCTCTGCGTGTATGTTTCATTCTCCCTTTGTGGCTTTTTCATTCGCTCTTCAGTGCTCTATCTCATCGTATTTCAATTGGAATATTTGCATATTTGCCGTATTGCGTATTGGCCATGTGCCAAATGCACGGCTGAAATTCAATGCGGAACATTCTGAACTACAACAGCCCGAACAGTGTCAATAAATCTCAATTATTTTGCTGGACCGAACGACCGAGTAAGGGAGCGAAGGAGTAAGAGGTTGAGGAAGTGAGGGAGTAAGGGAGTAAAAGAGAAAGAAAGCATGAGAGCGAGCATGTAAGAGAGTGGACGAGTAATAGTGCAACCGACGTAACTAGTGCGAAAGACCAAAATCGAGTACGAGAGACCGAATGCGAGTGATACAGAGAAATAGCTGAAGATAGAGAGAGAGCCAGCGAAGGGAGAGACAGACCAAACGAATCAGACAAATGAAATTTTCGTTAATTAAAAATTGTCATTCTCTGGCAGAGAGACAGTTTAATTGGATGGTGTTGCTTCGGGCAATGTTCACACGTATGATAAAATCGCTCTTTCTCTCTCTCTCTCTCTCTCTCTCTCTCTCATGTTTAAACTAACAAAAACAATCTTTCTCTCTCATCTATTTCAAGAGCACCCTGCGAGCGTGAAATAACTCGCACATTTTATTTGCAATGAAAGTCAGAAAAGCTGAATTGTTTGTCCAAACTTGTGTTTTCCGACTGAGTTGAAATGAAAAATGTCTGTACTGTTGGCTGTTTTTTTTTGTTTCTATTTCAATATGCCGTCTCTTTTCCCAAAAGCAATGTTGCACAACGAATGTGCAGCGTTTCATAGTTTCTGTACCAAGTGAATTGCTTCTCTGCTAAGTTCCATGAGTCGTTTTCGTATATGCAATGGATTTTGTGTACATACATGACTATTGTGCTTCTCGATGTGTAACAAACTTTAGCCTGCGTCGCTCTCTCTCTCTCTGTATTTAAAACACCATATTGCCGTGGTTGGCCAAATGGCAAAGCACACAACCTGATTGCACCTTGACTCACACCGTGTGTTGTAATGTGTGCAACGATGGATTATGTTTACATTTTTACGTTGAATGCGCTTTGTTTGTTTTTTCTTGCCATTGCCTACACTGCACACAGACACACACGAAGAAGTAAAGAATCATGCGAAGCGCAGCACTGAACTCGGTTGTGTGATGGGGAGAAGATATAAGCAATAACAAAACCTGCATCGTAACTTGTTTTTAGACTTATGAGCTGTTTGTTTGTTTCTCTCTCCGCGTGTGTTTGTGTGTGTGTGTGTGTGTGTGTGTGTGTGAGTAAGAACGCAACGAGTTTACCGAAGAGTGTGAGAGTCGAATGAATTGTGAACGCTTGAGACAGCATATTCGAGTAGTCCAACAAAGATATATATCGATTCAGAGAGCTGTATGTCTCGGGCAAATGAGCCAACATGTGCTCTCGTCTCTCTTTCACCAAACACTTTGTTGCGATGCGATCCATTGTTTCGTACACCTCATACATGTTCATCCAATTGACTGCATTTTTGATGATGAACGATGCAAGCATTTTTCTACGTTTTTTTTCTTTCACTCCATCGGCTCATTTCGATTGTTATTCATGTGCTAAACTTCTTTCTCTTACTTCGACCGTTTCTCGTATGCGCCCTCATTTTACACAGACCAATATTGTTCTGGCTTTGCTTTTGAAAACGAACAATTGCTCTTTCTCTCTATATCCATCTCGCTAACTCTCTCGCTCAATTCATTTGTCTCGCATCTTTTCCAAAGAAGAGAAAATTTACTGATAATGTGCTCGAAAATGAGTTTGTTAATGTTTCTTAGGTCCAGATCTCTTGAAAAGTTTTCAGTGCTTTATCCGATGTTTTGATAGCATTTTCTTGACACTTTGAATTTTCGTCTTTGGCGAAAATTGGATTTTAAATTTTTCAATACTTTTTCGGTCGCTTCCTGCCAAGCTGTGTAGTGGATCGTAGTATATTCTGGTTTGATCGTTTCATCAAAACTTGTTTCCGACCACCGAAACCAGAAACTTTCTACTCGATTCGAGATAGCACAAATGCTTGCCGATAATCCTGCGCTACGAATTTTGCGACAGAGACGCAACGAAAATGGTGAGCCACCTAGCATGAAGGTATACAGGGCGACAAAGTGAGACAATATTTGCTTGGGCCTATTTAGAACAGGCCAACTCAATTTACGACACAGACAATGCTCGTTAATAATTCATTCGATTAATTATGCTGTATCCGCTTCACTGAACATGTTTTTAACATTGTCGTCGAGAGAACGACAGCGGTTCATGGAAACGATACATTGAGCCGCTTTTGGAAAATGTGGTGTGTTGATAAAGAGACTTTATCATAGAGCATGAATGTTATATCGACTGAGTTGATTCGAAGCACTCTATTCGATCGCTCTTTCAAGCTTTGCAATACTGTAGCGTTCTCTTTCTAGGAGAAAGAGTCAATACTGACTGAGTCAATATACAGCAAATATATATTTGCCGTTCAAGGCAACAGTCCATACAAAATGGATAACCGAAGTTACATTGAATTTGGTATCGATTTGTTTATCTTCTGCGAAATTGCAAATTTCCCGAAGGCATTTGAATTGATAAGCAAACACATGGAATCGATTGTGTCAAACAAATGGTTTTGACTAGGAATAAATTGATTAGACTCAACAATATTTTTGGTTGTATTTTTCGTTTATGAATCGCCAAATAATGAATTTTGTGACACTCAAACTGTTTGACGAGGACAAATTGTGAATTATTTTCATTTTTCTACGAAATTCAGGGTTGGTTGACATCTTTTCAGAGCTATTCTGCTTGAGTTCAGAGCTGTTGCAGAACAACAAGTCTACTATTCAAGCAGTTGAATACTAAACCGTTGTATTGTGTTCAGAATCGTTAAATTCCAAAATGCTCTGTCTCTAGCTCGAACAACATCGTGTCGGTGTATTTTGAACAGTGGAGCTCAGGTTTCTGAAGACTGATTGCCATGGTTATGTCATGTGTTGTCGCATAAAATTGTATCTATTGTCATTGGAAATGACAAAAGGATGTGGAAAATGATGAATTCCGTAGCCTCCGGCATACGCTGCTTTGTTGTGCAAACAAAATAAGGGCATGCGAAATAGCACACACACACACACACACACACACACAGGTAATAACAACATGAAGCATGAAGAAGAATTCTTCAGTTAACAGACACCCAATATCATAACATTCATAAAATGCTGCAAGAGACACAAGAAAGAACTGGATGAAGCAGAGAAAAAAAACGTATCTAAAGCAGCAGAGAAAAAATCACGTTCATGTCAAGAACGAAGAGAATACTATCGTCTCTATAGTCTCGAATGGAAAATGAGTTCATCAAAACGGGATAGGTTGAAATGGAACGCTATAACATATTATTCATACGGCGTGATGTGAGTGCATCTCACAAGCGAACAACAATTCTCTCACTATCTTAAATAGATCACACGGTAACAGAGAATATTTATATCAAAATTTCTCCATCGAAAATGCTATTTTAAGACAGCATACATATTTTAGACAAATGAATAGGCGCAAAAAAATAACACACGACGATTATACGCGTCATGTACAAGTGGGGAAAGGGTATAAAAATGATCAAAGTAACAAGGATACCGTACCTGTGCCGATGAATTTGTATTGGATTCATCAACTATTTTATCAGTCTCCATTTTCATCATGTTTGATGCTTGAATTTTGTTGTGTTTTTGTCGATTACGGCCACCCGTTGTATCTATGTCCTATCTCGGTTCTTGTGCGCCTCTCTTCTTGATGCGCGATTCAATGTGTGCTCCACGATGTGCACGCAATGCGTACCGTTGATATATGATGCTAGTGGCGTATTCTCTGCAGATGAACTCGCGATGCTCGCTGATTTTGTTTTATTAATTCAACAAAACCGTTTCAATTTTTCGTTTCTCTCTTTTACACTCGGTCGTCGTGCGTATTTTGTTCGAAGCTATGTGTAATTCGACCTTAATTTTCAACACCTCATGAAATCGATCGTTGAACTATTAATTTTTCCGATTAGTTTTTTTCTGTGCAATCAATTTTAATTGAATCGAAATGTCAAAATATTTTTTGTTTCGTTTTTCGGACGATTTTGTATTCGTAAATTTGGTTTTTTTGCTACGAACGTGCTGTGAATGGGATAAAAAAAAAAATGTTGTTTTGTGTCGTCGATAAAATGAACCAAGTTGCACTCACGTTGGAATTTCTTTATTTATTTCACGCTTCACATATATCAATCAATCGAACGATGTGTTTTTTTTTGTGTTTTTCTGTCTCCCTCTATCCTCTCTGTACAGTATGTACAATGTACATGAATCTATTCAAATCGAAGCAATTGCACATAGACTTGTGCTACGTGTTACCATATTCATTTTGTACTTGGCCGCACAAAATCGAATCATGAACACACACGCACACACACACACGCAACAAATGCAACAGCAATAGAACCGATATTTCTAATAAATCGAACAATTCGAAACGAAGAAACAAGAAAATCACTAAATTTCACGAAATATTTCCACGACAAAAATTACCGAACTGAAGAAAAAAAAATTTGTTGTTGGCTTATTTGTGCACACGTTTTTCCTCACAAAACGACAGACAAAAAAATATCACTTTATCTACTGTCAAATAAAATCAGTACGAAAATATTGGCTTCGAATTTGTTTTACACATTTTTTTTTCTGTTCCTGGTCTCTACGTAATTTTCAAAAAAAAAACAAAATTCGTCACATCACTCTACTTGCACTTTGTGAGGCTTTGTGTGTTTTTTTTTTTTATTCTGCTCACACACTAAATCACCAAAGAAAATTTGGTTTCGATTGGAAACTCAAAATAAATCAATCGATGAGAGTTTTTTTGTTTCCTTTCACAAACGAAACATGCAGCGTAAAACTAGAGTTTGCACTTTTGGAAATGAAAAATAAAGAATGTGATGGCGACAATGTGAAAAGAAGAAATAGTTTTTTTTTCTTTACTCTACGATGTAATGACTCTTTGAATATTTTGCGTGATCTATTCGTCAGCTCACCCGCTCGTTGTACAGTAACCACAGTGAAACGAGTTCCTCTTGAGTTTTGCATGTATACGTGACTGTTCCACTTCTTTCGTACTGTAAACGCACACAATACAGTTGGCTCTGTCGTATACAGTAACGTAAGTGTGCTGTCTCTGTCATTTCGGTCGATGCTGTGTGCATGTGTTGAACACAATTCTTTTGTTTTCTCAATAATGTGACGTCACAGTAACATGGCGACAATCGCAAAGTCATTCATTTCGAATGCGGCTTGTTTCGTATAGGATTCGAACACAACGATAGATGGCGACACACATTCAGTGATGGGTACATACTTTTGAATTGAATATTGAACGAACGATACGATATATTGACCTTTTTCCATAGGAATTAAATTAAATTAAATTATTTTCTCAATAAATTGTTTTCTTTTTAAAGGATTTTTGATTCAGTTTTCACTTTTTCGACTGCATAATGCAGTCTGCATTTGAATGGAGCATGGAATTTGGACGCTGTTCTATGTGTTCTTTTCCATTTATTTTTCAAGTTTATTAAAAAACACCTAAATGAAGCTTCAAGCTTCGTAGAAAAAAAAACAACTTTAGCTTACATTGAAAAAAATATCACAGCAATTCAAATGTGAATCACAATCAGAGTATCTTCAAACGAAATATTGCTACAAAACATCAAATTTTGGATGAATCAATGTTCACATGAAAAAAAAATTAAATTTTCTTGAAAATAATGCGATTTCCTCACTAAAAAATGCAATTTTTCACACTAAAAAAATCGAGTTTCAATTCAAAATCACTGAAAAATTAAATTCATTCATAAAAAATCGATTTTTTTTATTAAACCTAAAACTCCAATGTTTACCTAATAAAAAAAAGTTCACTATTTTATCCTGATGCGACTTAAAAATATGCAATGTTGGTTCATAAAAATGCTATCACTTCAAAAAGAATACTAAAATTACGTTGAGATGGTGGCAAATAAACATATTTGACTGATAGAACCCAAAGCCATGGTGATTTTGCTTCGGTTTCCATCAGTTGAATTGGTGGTGCAAGACTGTAGTGTTCTATCTGCGAAGATTTCTTATTATGAACTGCAAGTCTTGTTCGATTCTTTCCAGCGGACGAAATAAATTCCGATCAAACATTCGATGAATGTGTCTTTTTGCAATGGTTTTTGCACGACGACTGGACCGAGCAAACAGGACCAAGTCTTTGTACCGTAAATATTTGATGATACGCTCCAAGCAGTCATCATTCAAATCCAACAAATTCATTTGGCAGTTCATTCCTCTTAGCTGTGTTGAGACATTGGTCACTCGTGAATTGGTTGGGCTATAATTTGTTTTTCTTAGTTGAACGGAGACAATTTTGCTTTCTTGTTGGACGGATAAGTTTTTGCTTTCTTCTGGCCGGACCAAAATATCATCGCTTTCTTTTGATTGAGCCGCAACACTGGAAATATTCAATTGACTCATTTCAACAAGTGATCGATCATCGAAGGTGATCTGAAAAGATGGACACATTTGTTTTTAAATCGCAAAAGTTGTTTTAAAGACAAAAAATGCGAAAATCTGGGATTTTGTTCTTCTATTGCAAGATTGACAATAATTCTACGGAAAGAGGTGATAAGGTATTTGATATGAAACAACCCATCAAAATAGCCCAGCAATCAATGTTACGTGTGTGGAGTTGATATACTGTCGACGTGATCTTTTTCATATGCAAATTTTGTTACAAGAAAACAAAACATGTTTTTGTCGAGTTTTTTCTATTGCAATCTATCGTTGATAATTGGAGTTTGGAAATGATATTTATTTCATACGGCATCGAATTCTAGTCAAAACCATTTCGGCCACTGTACAGTTTGTATCTCACTTACGTTCCGGCTGCTTTTTAACATGGTTTTTTGCGTTGAATATGGAGATTTTTTTTCTCACCAATTCAAGGTATTTTACTGAACGGGAACAAACGAAAAAAGAAAACGATTTTGAAGAAAAAAGCAAAAATAGAAATTTGCCACGTTTGCAAAGACAATTTTGAACAAAAAAGTGCAAACAAAATCCGAATCAGATTCTCGGCACAAAAAAAATAAACATAACCCTTCATTTGCTTCAATGCAAATTTGACAGAAGTGATGTTGTGAACGCGCAAAATATCGGTTCAATTCACGCTCGCTGTTTGTGCGCTCTCTCGCTCTCTCGCTCTTCCCTCTTTTCTCTCTACTCTCATTTTTCGTTACATCTCCACTTCTTTCCACTGTTCATTCGAGCGCAAAGTGACACTTGTGAAACGTACCCTATCATCATTCATCGACCAACGCCAATTAAAATGAGAGAGAAGGAGGAAAACATACAGAGGGAGATAGAGAGCAAGTCCATTAACATCGAATTTTTATCCGAAAATGCCATTTTCGGCAGAAAATATTTTTTTTGCATGGCAACCCATTCTCCTATTCGACAAACATAATTTTTGTCATTGCATTTTTCGTCAATCATTTTTTTCGTTATTCATTTTCATTTTTTGTCGTCGTCACAAACTGAATGTGAAATTCACCACAGAAACCGTGTGATGAATTCTAGCGGATCGGATGACATTTTCGGCTTCACTTGCACGTCCGTGCTCAATGTGACAATGTATATGCTTTTCGGTGTGTTGGTTTAGAGCCGGTGCGTGTTATTGTTCTATGCGTGTGGCCATATAATCAATCACACAGCACCATCAATAAACAAAACGCGCCACCAAAAATGTCGTTGTATTGGTAAAGCATGGCTCACTTCTGTTGGTGCAAACCGAAAATGAAACATGTTCACCGGCCAAAATAACCGCGCATCTACATTGACAAGCATCACTTGCGCTCATCAAGTATCGTCTTAGTTTATGTTTTGTGTTTAGTTCATCGTATTTCTTCCAAAAAATTTGGAAAATTCAGTATTTTGTTGTAAAAATTACGTCGATCGTATTTTCTCGTTGAAAAGTGTAAAAATTTCGGAAAATTTGTTGTAGATTTTTTGGTAATTGGAACGAAAACGTAAGTACCGTTGGAGACACATTGTGAAATTTGAGATTACAACAACAAGAATGAAGCGTGCCTGAGCAAAATAGCGCATGCAAAAGTGGCAAACAAAACACAAATGACTTTTTTCAAAGCATAGTTATTTTTCGGATTTTCTGATAAATTGAGATTTTTTCATTATTTTTGCGCATCTCTTGATTTTTGCGAATTTTTCTAAAATGAATTTGATCATTTTGAACGGGATTTTTTTCTTCAGCATTCGGAAATTGAAATAAACTCATTTTGTGGGTGATTGAGATATTTTTCATGTCATTTGTGTTCAATTTACCGAATTCAGCATGCGATGCATGGCAACGTAACCTCATTGCTCAAACTATTGACGGTCGTACCGCGACCCGTTCCTTAAAGTATGACGAAACATGTTGTCACATGAAATTTTTTTGTTCGTTCATGACATCTAGATCACAGTCAAAGATGTCTTGGATGGACGGAATAAAAAAGGCCTCAACTGGTCGACCACCAAACAAACGGCCACCGGTCATCACAAATACAAAAGTTCCGAACAAGATGCCACGTTTGGCTCTTGAGTCCACTTCGGGCGGTGGAGATGAGAATAGGCATTTAATTCGGTTCAGACCAACGTTGAATGTTGAAGATGCAGACGACCGGTCGAATGAAGGTGACGCGGCAGCAGCATTGGATGCATGGATGGACGATGTGAAACCAACGTTGGATGAGCTAAAGCCGTTGCTCGAAGCAAAGCCGTCACTCGATGTAAAGCCAATGGTTGATGAAAAGACGTCGCTCGATGTAAAGCCATTGGTGGACACACAGCTACTTTCGGACACAAAGCCTCCATTGGTCGATATCAAGCCACCGTTAGCTGAAATAAACCAAAATATCATAGATGTCTTAAGCCAAAACTCACAGAAAAGCCAACCGCTTCAAAAAGGTGCGAAGAAAGCACAAGCACCGAAGAAGAAAACCCAGAAAGGGAAAAAGAAGAACGGAGCAGATGGCGAAGATGGAGAATCAGACGATGAGAATGCGATGCGAAACCCGAAAGTGTTTGACGATAAGGCTGAAGATCACATGGGCGTTGTTGAAACGTATGCTGATTACAAGCCGGCCAAATTGGATTACGGCAAACCACATCCAGATCCAGTCGTTGAATCGGCCACATTGTCATCGATAACACCGACTGACATTCACTACGAGTTGAAGATTCCAAAGAAGACCATCGAAAAGGGAGCGTTGAGCGCACTTCAATTGGAATCAATTATTTACGCATCACAAGCTCATGAACACACTCTGGAGGATGGAGAAACACGAGCTGGTTTTTTGATTGGTATGCATTTTGAGAGGTTTTTACCGATTTTTTTTTAAATGAATTTTCAAAATTTGTACCATTTTTTACAACATTCAATCGGTTTCTTATTTTTCAAAGAGCACTTTCTTATCAGAACAGGGCGCAAATGTCATATTTCCACATTTGTCGTTTAAAATTTCCATATTATTCCACTAATTTCTCATTGAAAACAGGTGACGGAGCTGGTGTTGGTAAAGGCAGAACAGTAGCCGGTATTATTTATGAAAATTTTCTGCGTGGACGCGAAAAAGCCATATGGGTATCTGTGTCGAATGATCTCAAGTACGATGCTGAGCGCGACTTGGAAGATATTGGCGCCAAAGGAATTGAAGTGTACCATTTGAACAAGGTAAGATTGAACAGAAGTCATGAACGCATCGATCAGTGTAAACTTGACAATGAAGGAAAATTAATTACATTTGTACAAAAAGCTTCAACTCATGCATTGGTAGACCACCAATTGTGGTTCTCAGCTTTAGTTTACAAAGAATTAGGTTTCCAAGAAGAAAAAAAACGGATTTCAATAAATTTCAAATCGATTGCTCTTAATAAATTTGTCACTGCTTCCAATTTATCATGTTTCCCCATTCACGGAACAAATGATCATTCACTCAAGAAAATATCTAATCTATATCTAATTGAAAATAGTTCAAATACGCCAAAATCGATTCGTCTACAAATGGTGGTGTGGACACAGGTGTCATATTCAGCACATATTCATCGTTGATCAGTGGAACGAAGAGTGCTAAGGCCAAATACAACACGCGATTGAAGCAACTGGTCGACTGGTTCGGAGCTGACTTTGATGGCTGTATTGTCTTTGACGAGTGCCACAAGGCGAAACACTTGATTCCATCGGGCGGAGCAAAACCAACAAAGACTGGTATGCACGTGCTCGAACTTCAAAATGCATTACCAAGAGCACGCGTCGTTTACGCTTCGGCAACAGGTAATTTCGGTTTGAACTACAGTCAGATGTTTTTACATTTTTCTTAATTCATGCATAATTTCGATGGATTTGCTGCAAAATATACAGTTTTAAATGGATGCATTGTTTATTCGGTTGTTTTACATACACACACACAAGCCACATCAAAACTCTTGTTTCACACTTTTTCCCATTGAAACGAGAGCTTTGTTTTACATTTAGAATCGATCATTTTGCTCCACTCTTTTGAATAAGATTGGATTCAAGGGAATTTAATTGAATTCTCGTTCTCTTAAGAGACACTTTTTTGAAAAGTCAAGAGACTTGAAGATCCCTTGAAGAATCAATTTATCGAATTTATTGCTTTCTTCCTCGGTAAATTTGCTTTTACCTTCGATAGGTGCATCCGAGCCTCGCAACATGGCATATATGGTTCGTCTTGGCTTATGGGGCCAAGGAACACCGTTTAGAAATTTTTCCGAATTTCTATCGGCTGTTGAAAAACGGTAGGATATTCTTTTGTACTATGATTCAAACTGAAATACTATTTTCATTATTTGAAATGAACACGATTTTTGATCGTACTCATTCCATTTTGTTTCCACAGCGGTATAAGTTCAATGGAAGTCGTCGCAATGGATATGAAACTTCGTGGAATGTACATAGCTCGTCAGCTGAGCTTCAAAGGTGTAACATTTACTGTGGATGAGGTTCCATTTTCGGATGATTTTCAGCAAACATACAACGATTCGGTTGAGCTTGTAAGTTGGATTCTTGAAAATTCGTTCATTGATGTCATGACAATTAGCTTTAACATTTTTGCTCAGCTTCTTCACTCCAAGGCATGTCCTCATATTATGCTGTGTATGTCCTAATTTCGGAAGAATTGTTTAATGAATCATGTATTTAGTCTAAAATCTTGAAGCTAAAGTCTATGTGTCGAACTTTTCGTCATTCATCATTTCATTGAAAAAATTCCCATTTTCCCAAGAATAATCGATTCAAATCTTCCAATTACAGTGGGTCGAAGCAAAGAAATGCTTCTCAGAAGCCGAATTGTTGCTGGAAGAAAATCGAAAAATTGCGCACATGATGTGGGCACAATTCTGGAGCGCTCATCAGCGCTTTTTCAAGTATTTGTGCATCGCAGCAAAAGTGAGCCATACCGTTGAATTGTCGAAAAAAGCGATCGAAGATGGAAAATGCGTCGTCATTGGGCTTCAATCGACTGGCGAAGCACGCACACTTGATGCAATCGAACGTGATGACGGTGAACTGACCGAATTTGTATCGACTGCAAAGTAAGTGCAAATTGTTTTGTCTTTCTTGAAGTAAAGTTGGTAAAATGAAGAATGAATCAGTATTTTGATCGATAGATCTAAATTCTTCAAAATGAAGATGTCAAATCAAAGATCAAAAGACGTATTTCGGAATGATTTTATTCTAATTTGCAATCAATTTCTTTGTACCTCAGGAGCGTGTTTGAAATTATGATTGAAAATCATTTTCCGGCACCAGCGCGTGGGTTTTTGGACGATTATCAAAATTCCGAACAACAAGAGTCGAGTCAAAAATCGCCCAGCCCAGAAAAAAAGCGCCGTTCAAATCTGAAACGTCGAGTCTTGGCCGGACTTGAGCTTCGTCCACGTAAAAAGCTACAAGTCATCTATTCGGATGATTCAAACAACGAAGTGGATGAGAAAAAGTCGGCAAAATCGTCCAAGCCACCCAAATTGGTGAGCAAAAATCGAAGCGTACTCTACTCTGATTCCGAATCAGATGTAGAAATGGCAGAAGCGAAGAAGCCGGTTAAAGCCGAAAAATCGGGCAAATTGCGACGACGCGTCAAGCCATCGACTGACTCAGACATATCAGATATATCAGACAGTGACTCACGCGCAAGTGGTGATGATCATTCAGGTACAGTTTTAATCTAGTCCTCCTAGAGATGAACCAATGAAAAACTTTGTTTCACTTTGAATTTTGCTTTGGTAACTAAAGTTGTCAGAATTTCAACTGACTTGTTTCTCAAAATCTACATTTTTTCAGATAAAAAAAGCGCAAATGAATCTGGATCAGAATCCGGTTCTAGTTCTGAATATGATAGCGATGCATCTGGTTCTGTAAACAATTCAGATGACATCACAACGCCAGAAGAGAGCGATGCATCGACCATTGGCAGTGATGATTCGGGCGACGAATCGTCTGAATATGACAGCGATATAAGTATGGAAAGCATGGTTCGTGGTAGAAATGGTATTTCGAGCAAGCCAAAAACTATGCAAGAGAAAATCCAACGAATTTTGATGGGTATGAGTGGAAAACATGCCGAACGGATGCGAGCCTACTGCAAACGTGCCTGTGATTTGAAAGACGGTTTGCTAGAGCAAATCGAAAGTCTTGGAAAGCGATTGCCACCAAACACATTGGATCAATTGATTGACGAATTGGGTGGATCAGATGAAGTGGCTGAAATGACTGGTCGCAAAGGTCGCGTTGTTCAGTTGGATGATAATGAGATCCAGTATGAAACTCGTGCTGAACAAGGCGTCTCTTTGGAGCGACTCAACTTGCTTGAAAAACAACGATTCATGGATGGCGACAAGCTGATTGCTATCATCTCCGAAGCCGCATCAAGTGAGTCTATTTCTTTTGAAACAAATTTTCAAAACCGAAGATTTTTCCAAAAAAGCAACGAAATTGAAACGATTTTTTTTGTGAAAAAAAATGACTCGTGCGAATACCCCTTGATCAAACAATCATTTTCTTGAAGAAGCTCATTTATCGTCAACGCTTCTTCATTCAATGAAAATGTCCAAAATTCACCATTCTAATCAGTCGATTGTCTTTCTTCCAGATGGTATTTCACTTCAAAGCGATCGACGTGTTCCGAATCAGCGACGTCGTGTCCACATCACATTGGAGCTGCCATGGTCAGCTGATCGAGCCATTCAGCAGTTCGGACGTAGTCATCGTTTCATTTTCCATTGATATTCCATCACTTTGTCACTATTTCTCATTAATTTTCATTTCTTCCTTTTGTGATTTTCTTTCTCCTACAGGTAGCCATCGTTCAAACCAAGTAAACGCACCGGAATATGGTAATAAAGCCTTGAAAAACTGAGTGTATTCTTTATTTACTAACACTTTTCTTAATCAATAGTCTTTTTGATCTCAAATCTGGCTGGTGAGCGCCGTTTTGCATCATCGGTGTCGAAACGTCTTGAATCACTTGGTGCTCTGACCCATGCCGATCGTAGAGCCACAGAAACTCGAAATTTGTCACAATTTAATGTGGACAACAAGTACGGTCGCGAGGCACTCAAAACCGTTATGGAAAGCATTCTCCTTGACGCCGAAATGAAACATATGGAGGACAAGGAGAAAGTGGAACTGTTCATGGAAATTCGAGCAGCATTACATGGTGTTGGCATTGGCGAAGATCCGATTGCTAAAATTGATATGGCACGATTCTTGAATCGCATTCTGGGAATGCCAGTTCGTCTACAAAATCAACTGTTTGAGTACTTTACCCACACCCTGGACGATATAATTGAACGCGAAAAAGACGCCGGCCGCTTTGATATGGGCATCATGGGTAAGGTTTTCATATTTTAAACTCTTGTTAGATTTCAAAATTGAAATTCATTGAGAATGCTTAACTTGGAACAATTTTTCACCTCAATTTCTTCGCTTCAATCGAAAAAAGATTAACTTTGCTATGGCTTTTCCGATTTCTAGACATGGGCAACACAAACAATGCCGAAAAGATTCGGTCAATGCGATTCATTCGTCGACATGCTACTGGGACGGCACCGATCGAAATCACCACGGTTGCAGTCAATCGAGGCATTTCATGGGAAGAGGCTATCGAAAAGTAAGTTGACCCAGACAATGAAAAAAACAACGAATACCAAAACTTAATCCAAACTCATTCAATTCCAATTCAGGTTTGGTAAAGCAAAGAACGAATTCGAAGGTTTTTACCTCACCCATTACCGCAAAAATAGTTCGGTTTCATTGTTCCTTATGACCGATGGTGAAATTAAAAACGAAGATTTGGCATACATGAGACCGAGAGAAATTTTCTTCAATGCATATCGTCCGCATACTGGTACACAGACACGAACTGTGCCACTCAATGAAATGCAACGAGGTACCAAGTTGTGTGATCTTGAAAAAGCAAAAGATTACTGGGAGAGGCATTACGAAAGCTCAGCTCGCATATGCAGCCACGTATATTGGGCCGGACGATGTTTTAATCGCAAGGCTGGCTTCGATTGCGATGAAGGAATGCGTCGTCGCAAGTACACGGTTCTTTCCGGTTCGATCTTTGCGTTCTGGAATCACATCGAACATCAATTGCGCAGACGTGAATTCCCGGAATCACCACGTATCGTTCGATTGAAGACAACGGATGGCAGCAAAATTGTTGGTGTTTTGTTGCCCAACGAATGCGTGAGCGACATCATTGAAATTCTACACGAAAACTCGGAAAATTTCGAAGAATCCGTCTACTTGGAATAACGAATCCGTTACGACAAATGACATTTGACCCATTTTTTCTCATTTTCTTTTTTTATACTTTAATCAATATGCATATTTCAGTATTTAACAATACCTACAAAAGGTATCTATGTTTTGTTTCGCAATGAAAAAACATTTGACCATTGTTCAACGTTAAACATTATCAAAAAAATGTTATCGATGCAAGAAATTTGACTTGATGTCATTCCGAATGACTCATTCCAAATGATTTATTTAATAAAACAAAGGTATGTAATGAAACATTTTCTACAAATAAAAAGATTTTTCGAAAGAAATTCGTCAATTTTGTTCCGTTCAAATATTTTACCTCGACTTGGACATGAAACTTGGAATTATTTTTTTTAGTTGGATTTGTTTTTTTCTTTCGAGACTGATTTTGTTCTGGATTTCATGTGGTGTTTTTTTCATTTTGACATATCCATTGCTTTGCTTTGCTTTGCTTTGCTTTGCTTTGCTGTGAAGTGGCTGCAACTACGAGGCAACAGAGCGACATGGAACACACTCCGAATGAATACACTCACAAATAGACATTTTTGAATTATTTCTTTGCTTTTTTTACTTCGAATTTATCATTGCACAGAATAATAATGTCACAATTGATATTTTTATTCGGCAAAAGATTTGTTCATTGTTATCGTCGATATTGAAAGTTGAACCGTTTAAGTTGTAATTACAGAGTCTCTAATATAGACGCATGGAATTTATTTAATGAATTAACTTGACATGTACATGTAATGCAAAATTATATTTAAAAAAAAACTTAACATTTTTCTCTGAAACAAATGTCTGTCTATAAAACGTTTGTATTTTCAAACAAAATTGTCATTTTCAGAATTTTCTCCATTTCCATCACATTTTTTTCTTCGGCAATTGAAACTGAGTCACTGTGAGGGGAAAATTGTTACCAATTTCAAACAAAAAATCACTACAAAATGATTAGACAAAAATAAGAGTCAAAAATTGTTGTGTAGAAAGAATGGAACAAAAAAACCAAATTTCATCAATATTTCAATGTAATTCGATGATAATCAATATGCGGTTCATGAATCACAGCTTCCCAATCGTTACCCAGAACTGTAGCGAATGATTCTCGAACGATTTGATCGCTGTACTCAAATCCAAGGTCCAAAGTGTGAAGTGTTTCACATTCAGCTACAAATCGGTTCAAGTGACTTGGTGTTGAAATAAAGTCGCCGGACACATGGAGTACAGTCAAATTCGGTAAACTCTTGGCAAAAAGCATCAACGTTTCGTCCAAATTTTCCGTTGCCAGCAAAATATCCGTCGGCAATAAATTTTCTTCCAGTAACACTTCTTCGTTCGTCATCAAATTCCCCATCAAAGCCGATTTGGTCATGATCTTTGGTTCAGTCAACAGCATCAGTTTAACCAATTTTGTGCATTTCGTGATGAAATGTGTCCATTGCACATTCGATGCAGAGTACCCGATCAACCAGAGCTCTTCAATGTCCACAGCAGACATCGGTGCCTGACATTGACGTTTCGGTGGCAAATGAACTGTTAGCTTTTTGAGTGCTTCGAAGTCAATTGTACAGCCTTCGATGAAGTTCTCTTTGCCGAATAGCTCAAAAGTCAGATCCATTAAACCAGGCAGTGTATTATTGATGCAGCTCAATATTTGTGTGTCCATAGCAATGTTTGATGCCATCAAACTGAGCCTTTGCAACTGAACATTAGCACGCAAGCAATTGGCAATGTTCATTCGCGTCAGATGACCCAATTGATCCAATCGATTGTGTTTCAAGGTTAGTTGTTTCAAGTTGGGAAACGCCACTTCGATGTGTTTTGGATCGGAGAATGTGTTGTTCTCCAGCAGTAAGTGTTCAACATTCGGAAACCACTGGCATAACTTTGAGAGGCACTGTTCAAAGTAGCCGTCAGTGATAGCAACTGTGGTCACTGTTGAAAATGACTGGTCAATTGCATTGAATGTGCGTGAATCGAAACTCAGCAACTCAATTTCAGCCAACGAGTCAGCACAATAATGGGCCACTGCACGTTCGATTCCATCAAAGTCACTGGTATCGTCAAGAAAACTCCGGTTGGAGTAATCAATCTGCAGCTTTGACACCAAATGACCACACACACGTAGGAATGTTGCGGTTTCAATCTCACTGACCGTGCTCAATTGTTCACCCAAAATGATGTACTTGGAGCGTACGAAACCGGAATCATCAATCATCACTGTTTCATTTCGGCATTTTGCATGGAATGATGCACAGGTAAATGGGTTCAGTTCGTTGTTTTTGCCAGTGGATTCTTTTAACTTCAAGTAACCAAAAATTGTCGATAATATTTCGTCCAATTTCAAATCGCAAATCGGTAGGGAATTTGGTTGAGTGATGATCGCACTTTCAACAAAATCCATTTTTGACACCTGTTTTAAAGCAAAGAACGCAAATTTGTTTACTTGTGCAATTCAGTGAGATTCATTTTATTTCTTTCAACATTTTTTTAGGGAAGATTAAAAACGAAAAAATCCTACGAAAAATTTCTTGACTTGAATTCATAAAGGCGGAAAATGACAAATTGTGATTATCAGGCCAAAAATATTGGTCTAAATTTTTGTTGAAATTTGAGTTTTAAGGAAAATTATCCAACTTTGTCTTACGTTCATCGATTGGATTCAAACACCGATAATTTATTTGTAGTGCAACATTTGCTCGATCTCGCCTTTTTCCCTTCAGAAGAAAGATTTCGTTTTAACTGCTTCATGTGTGCATCGATTGATGTGGATTCATTGACAGAATCCCTTTTGCTTGAACTGCTTCAAATTTGCTTATGATTGACGTTGGTTTGACAGTATCTTCATGTCGAGAGCTCGAAAGTGTGTACAATCGTTGCTGTTGGTGAGATTTCATCAAAGTCCTTGTCTTGATACTTTTCTCAGTCTCTGTGACTACCTCTCTTTATCTCTCTCAATCTGTCTCTCATAACGCGAGCCATATTCTCCCTTTCCCTTTCTATCTCTCGACAACAAATTGAATTGATACGATAAATTTGGATGCAAACAGGGTTGCATCAGAACACGAACGTATGAAAGCTGACTGCTGTGTTCTTCAAATTACACAAATTTGCCAACGAGTAGAAAAAATTGAATTTGTTTACTTCAACACTTTTTGAATCAGCTCATTCATGCAAAGTGGAATAAGACAGCTGGAGAGACAACAAAAACAACAGGTTATTTCCTCACTTGCTGGTAAACATTTGAATGGAATTCAATAGAAGAAAAGAGAAAAAATCAAACCATTTCGATGAAACAACGAGACCATTCTTTAAGACGGTATCAATATGACCATGGAGATTTCTTTTTAAATAGCCTCATGAATATTTATTTTTCAAAAAAAATTGTCGGTATTTCAAGATTTTGTTTCAAACACTGTTCAAAGTTAAATATTGTTTCTTTATTAAATCGGAACCTTTTTCGGCTATCATCACGATGGGTGCTACTGGATGTCCCGAAATGATGTTAGGCATTCTAAAATGAACGAAATGATTTTGTTTATTCTTCTTCTCATTTTGTTGGTTCTTTTTTTGAACAAGGCTTTGTCTATTGAACAAGACTATTCCATTGAATAAAGCCCATTCTATACTTACACACTGCCGTCAATAACTCTCAACCCGTTGATTCCGTGAACTCGCAACTCTGGATCGACCACAGAATCGGTGTCAGTCGTTGGTCCCATTTTACAACCGCCAACATGATGCATAGAAGACCCGCTAATCACTTGAATGTAGCACTTCCAATAGTCAATCGATCCGTATTCGAATTTTCTATCGCAATCGGGTAACGGAATTCTTATTAGCTCGGCATTCTTTGACCGGAATGCCT